AATGGGGGGGGGGGGGGGGAGGAATCATTGATAAATTAGTGAAGACCGGAGGAAAGACACATATACAGAGAGACAAAAATGAAATTTAAGTCTCTGCCTAGGAGTTACTCTTTCACTGAAAAAGCGTGCATGGAAAAACTATATGCCTGATGTTGGTGTTTCTAGCATAGAATTTATACTCTGATGATAGCTGTGAAATTAAATTGAACCATCACCATAATCACCAGACTTCTGTTGCAACCATCAACATTCATTGCAACAAAGAGATCTTTTGATTGCACAGGACAGAATTTCAATAACTGAAACTAATTTAAGAAAACCCAGTAGGGCCAGCCCGGTGGCGCACTGGAGAGTGCGCCGCTTGGGAGTGTGGCGGCGCTCCCGCCGAGGGTTCGGATCCCATGTGGAGACCAGTTCCCGCTCACTGGCTGAGTGCGGTGTGGGAGCAACACTGAGGGTTGCGATCCCGTTACTGGTCAGTAAAAAAAAGACAAAAAGAAAAAAAAAAAGAAAACCCAGTAATTCACTGGCTTACATAAACTAAAAGCAAAAGGTTTTTTTTTCTTTTTTTTTTTTAAATTCAAGTATCAGTCCATTCAAGAGTTTAAATAATGCCATCAGTTTTCCTCCTTTCACTTTTCTTTTGAACCTTCCATTTCATTTTTCTGTTTTGTTTTCCTGACTACTGGCTTCATTTTCAGACAAGCTCACCCAACATGGTAACAAAGATGACATCAAAAGATCTAAGTATGGGGCTGGCCCGGTGGCGCACTGCTACAGTGCGCCGCTTGGGAAGCGCGGTGGCGCTCCCGCCGAGGGTTCGGATCCCACATACAGACCGGTTCCCGCTCACTGGCTGAGCAAGGGGCGGGCGCAGCACGGAGGGTTGCGATCCCGTTGCCGGTCCCGGTCCGGTACGGGCGTGACACTGAGGGTTGCGGTCCATTGCCAGACACGAAAAAAGACAAAAAAAAAAAAAAAAAAAAAAAAAAAAAAAAAAAGATCTAAGTATAACTAGTCCTTAGTGCCCTCATTCTCACGGGAGAGAGAGAAACTTCTCCCCAGCATTTATATCAATCTTTAAAACACCCACGTTGCAGAGCATCTTGTGGCCTTGGGTGCTCTGATTGGTCAGCCCGGAGTCATACCTGTAACTGTGGTAGAGGAGGCTTGATTGACAGTTCCACAAGGTGCAGGCTGAGCACCTCCCAGGAGGAAAAGATGCTGGGAGAAAAAAGAAGTAAAGACGTTTAAACCTTCCTAACCACCATTTTCTACTTCTAACTGCATGTTTTTGGGGTTCCTAGGCTGAGGAAGCTCTGCAGAAATATTTAAAGTCCAAGGAATCTGTGAGTGATGCAATTCTACAGACAGACCAGGCTCTCACAGCGAGGGAAAGGGAGATGGAAGGTGAGAAGAAAATGTGAGACATGCAAGATAGACAAGAAATTTCTACACATTTGAAATTAATTTGGCTTGGCTCACCTGGGATCATTAAACTAATGCAAGAATGGCAAAGATACTTCTTAGCTCCTCAGGCAGTACCTGAGTGTGGCATGATCCAGCTGCATTATGGTTACATGGAAGGGAAAAACAACCCCTGAAGATTTTCTCTATGAAAGTGGAACAATAACAAATAGGAGTGGGAGGCAGAAGGAAGGGGCATATTAATCATAGAGAAATTTGACTTTTCCCTCTTTCTCCTCAGAGGCACGTGTGAAAGCAGAGGCTGCACGGGCTGAAGCACAAAGGTTGGAGGAGATTCAAAGGCAGAACCAGCGAATGATGGAGCAGAGGGAGAGAGAGTATCAGGAACAAGTGAGGCAAATGCAGATAAACCATGCAAACTGGGTGGCAGAGCAACAGAGGGCCCAGCAGCGTCAGCTCCAGGTATTCATTGACTGTTTCGACTCAGGATTTTAATCATCTCTTGCCTGTCTGTAATGATGACAGCATAATATTGTGGCTCAGTGCAAGGACCCTGCAGCCAGACTGCCTGGGTGTGAATCCAAGCCCCACCTCTCAGTAAGCATATGGTTTAAGCAAGTTATCTATCCCCTCTGTGCCTCATGTTCCTCTTTTGTAAAATGGAAACTGTGATGACACCTATTTTATAGGATTATTTTGATAATTATATGAGTTAATATTTGTGTTTGGAATGGTGCTGGGCACAGAGTAAGAACCACAAATTGTTAAATAAAAACCAAGGCTTTTCTAGCCTGTGATAATTATTCTCTTCTGTTAACTTGTTAATGGCTCCAGACAATCTTTAATTTTGAAATGGTTTTGCTTCTGCAAACCTGGCATGAAATTCCTACGTGAGCACCTTATGAAACAAATGACATCCTAACTCTTCTCCTTTGCTTACCAGTCTACCTGTAGGTAGTAGTAGTAGTTTTTCAGGAGCTACTCCAAGATATTTTTGAAATTACAAGTCTTTCCTGAAGGGTAGTATGGGCAACCTGTGGTTTTGATTTCCGCCGTCTTTTCTTTTACTTCTACCACCAGAATTGTGGTGACCTGAAACAAATTCCCTCACCTAATGCTCAGACACCTCACCTAAATTCAGATGTTACCCAGACACCCTGCTTTGTATCAGCCTCTTCTCTTAGAAATATATAACACTCTTCTGTGTGTAAATGAGAATTGAAATCAGGATATGACTAAGATTGCACAAGGAAATTGTGCAGCATAAGGGGAAAGAGAGCCCTGGGATGGAATTCTGGGGACAACAACATTTCAGGAATTGAGAGATGATAATATTTCTGGAGAAGGAGGGTGAAAAATCACAGAAGTAGGTTAGATGTACACACATGGAAGAGAAATATCCAGCAACTGTCTATTACCGCTGTGGATTAAAGAAAGTAAGGACAAGTCAATGACTTAGGTAATCAGAAAGAAGCTTCATCTTACTTTTTGCTAAGCTTTCTGTTTTCTATCTGTCACTCTTCAGGAAGACGCTGAAAGGCGCGCTGCAGAAGCCGAAGCAGAAAGAGAAAGAATTCTTAACGAGATCCATAATTTACGTGTTCATGACTCATCAAATGATCCATGTATCCTACTCTAAAGTGCTAAATATCAGAGCTCCTTTTCTGACTCCTCTTCACTGAAGACACAACGGAATGAGAAACTATAGAACTTGGGACAATCAACTTTTAAATAAACTTCATAATTATATCAAACTTTTGTGTAGAGTTATGAGGTAATTATTCTGGCAACGGGTAAAATGTACATCTCAGCAGTTCAATAGTTTACATGATGATTGCTTCCTTGAAGAGATTACGGATTGTATAATAAGGGATGTTTTACAATTGCCTTTATTTAGGAGTAATGTTGGGATGGTTCCATAAGGGTAAGCTTTCTCTTACATCCCTGTGCTACCTGTCTAACTTTCTATATTTGTCTCAGGGTATTATGAGTTACCTAGGGGGTGTTATTCACTTGGGCTCAATCAAATGGAACTTGACCAAAGTCTTGGGCTCAGCTGGGTATCCTCCTGCTGGTGGTTGTGTGCTGAACGCCATCAGAGGGAAGCACCAGTGGTAAAGTGGAAACAATGTGCAGTTCTCAGCTGAGTGGAGGCTGCTATTCTATGGGCAGTGGCGTGATTCCTTGGGACTGTCAATAGACCATCTGTGTAGAGAGATTCCAAGCTGAAAGCAAATATGTTTTAAAGAAACAGAGATTTTTCTGAAGACGAAAGGAACTATCAGCAAGAAAATTGTGCTATAGGCTTAAGGGCTAGAAGAAGCCTTTTCATTATTGTTCATCCCCCACCAAGGGCAGAACTTAAATAGCACAGTTTATAATAAGAAACGATTTATACTGGATGTAATAATTGTGTGTTACATGTTCACAATCCCTTAGAGCTTGTAAATACATGATATAAGGAATGTTAGATAATGTGCCAAAAAATCTGATGGGGCTTATTTAATTTTATGCTTGTTTATAGTGCTAAAGTTAAATGACCTGAATTCTTTGCAATAATATGTGTAAGACTATTGTTTTTTTTAATTATAAATTAAATAAGTGTGTCTGTTTGTACATATTTTTAATCATAAAAACCTTTTTATAAACCATAACTATTAATTTTTTTTCAATAGTTAAAAGTCTACAGGGGAAGACTTCTTAATTTCCCTAAGGAGATTAAGAATTACTTTAAGGATAGAATGAAAACACATTTTATGACACCTTTTTATTTGTTTATCTGTTTCTTTTTGTTTATCTCCAGTAAAATGTGCTTTAAAATTATAGAAGCTTTGCACAAGGCTCTCTTTTACCTTCCTTATAACTGTTAACTTATGTAAGCAATTTCCCATTGGGTTATATTACAGGCACTTGAATTTTTCTTTTAGTTGCTCAAAATATGATTTACTTATTTGTGGGAAAAGAAAAGTAGATAACTTTTAATATCTGCCCTTTTTTCCTGTTCCTTGGGGAGTTTTATTACATCAAACTTCTCATATTAGACAGGGTCTGTGGTGCTCAACTATATTTCTACACTTGGACAGAATGTCAGAAGGTACCAGTGTATTTGGCAGAGTATTTGTCTAGCAATGCTCCATAATTACCTTTGCAAGCTGTACTATTCATAGAGAAGATAAAATATATTTTACATCCGAGAAAATGTCATGGTTGAAATGAACAACTCTATCTCCTGATTAAATATTGACATCATTACTACCCATCTTAAACAAATTTTAGAAATCCTGAGACTCAGCAAAATTTAATCACTTATCTAAGATTCCAGACCTTGGTACTGTTAGTACAGACCATATTGCAAAAGAAATATGATTTCTAGTTCAATACTTTCTACTATATCTCCCCAACCCCAAATAAAGGTTTTCCCTTTCTTTATAAATCTTTTTAAAACCCAGAGGGGTGTGTGGCTTTCACCAGTGATCCACAAACATTCTTCCCCACCAGCTTCCCCAGTGCCCCAAATTTTCTGATCTCATAGGACAGAGGTGTGCCATGGAGTGCATCATGACAAGAAAAGACACTACATGGTAAACATTGATGATTTCTTGAAGCTACCAAGAACCAGACTATATTTCCTGACCTTCTTTGTCTTATTGTTGTGAAATCAACTGATTACATTTTAAATGTTCTGAAAAGCAAGGAAATAATAGATTCTCCACCCAGAGCCTCCAGATGGATAGCAGCCCTCTTAACACCTTGATTTTAGTCTCATGACTTCAGATTTCCAGAATTGCAAGGCAACAAGCTTCTGTTGTTTTAGACCACTAAGTAATTTGTGGTAATTTGTTACAGCAGCAATAAGAAGCTAATATAACTTCCTTATTAATTAATATTATAAATAGTTATTAATGTTGGCTAATATTTATCCAGAATTTATTGTGTGTCTATTGTGGTTATTGTAATAATTTATCTATTGCTCACAAAATCCCTATAAACAGTATTACTTTATTGCAATTATTATTAATGATATTATTAACATATGTGAGTGTTATTGTTATTAAAGTTATTGATAAGGCATTCAAATTAAACAAATTATCTAAGGACAATGCCACAAAAGGCCTTTTGAATCTAGACCCCACACTAATAACCATCTTGTGAGACAAGAAAAACCTTCTGTATTTCTTGTCTTGCTTAGAAAAACATAGAGGTATTAAACAGTATGTTAAAATTTAAGGCTAATTACTAAAGAAACTAAAATCAAAAGCATAGCTTCAAAGCAATACAAAAAATTCAATACAAAAAAGCACACAAAAAATTTCCAAAAAAAAGTAGTGAAACTGTGGATGACTCTTGAATATACAGAATACCAATGGAACAAAATAGAAAGTCCAAAAATAGACTGGATAGGAATTATATATGGTAAAGATGAATTTCTTTATAGATTAAGACAACTGGATGACCATTTAGAAAAGGATCAAGTTAGAGCCAGCCTCCACACACTATACTAATGAAGCAAAGCAAAGCAAAACAAAACAAAACAAGGCTGTGTTTTTTATCAACCTATATAGGAAAGGGCCTCTCTAAATGTGACTCAAACTCTCTTGAGACATCTCTCGATTCCATATCTCAATCAATCACAAAACAATCTTTTGTTCCCTTTCAAAGCGATATTTTGATGTTACATCCTCTTCTCTCTGCTTTTCAAAATTATGAAATATGACACATACAGAAGAGTGCAGGAAACATAAAATGACCAATACTTAATGTAAATATAATTATAAAATGAACATATAAATCACCACCCAGGTACATAAAGTTAGCACTCCTACAGCTCTAAAGGTGCATATTGCAACCTCTGATAACCCTTCTGGAGCCAACTAATATCACAACTTTCACAATTCTTTTCTAGGATTTTCTTATATATATATGTGAGGACCTAAATAAAATTTAGTTTGGCTTGCTTTCGAACTTTATATAAATGGAATTACATTGTGTGTGTTCTTTTATGACTTGCTTCATTTGTTAATAAGACGTTTATGAGATTCATCTACTTCATGTGTATAGTTGTAAGCTGTATATATTGTATATATAGTATGAAGACAAAAACTTATTCATTTTACTGTTGATAAATATTTGGATTTTCAGGTTTATAATTCATGAAGTGTTATTAAGAACATTTTTGAACATATACATTTGCACATATACATTGTAAAGTTTTCTAGTGTAATACCCCTCCGAAGTGGAATTCCTAGGTCATAGAGGATGTATCTTCAGTCTTTCTAGATCATGTTTAACATCATCCCAAAGTCTCTATAGTAATTTACATACTTATCAGCAGATTATGATTGGCTTCCCCATCAAAATTTTTAACTTTTGTTAATATGGTGGCTGTTTGGTGCTATTTCATCGAGACATTACTTTGCATTTTCCTCATACAAATAGGGTAGAAGACCTTTTCTTATGTTTGTTTGCTAGTTTGTTTTCATTTTTTGTGAAAGGCCTCTTGATGTCTTTTTTCTGTTGGGTTATCTGTCTTTTTCTTGATTTTTTTGGAATTCCTTGTATATTGTGGATATGAGGTGTTGTTGGTTAGATGATTAGCCCATGTTATTTCCTATTCTGTGAATTGCTTTAACTTCTTTTATGGTATTTCCATGAAAA